ACTTGCACAAGATTCATTAAAGACTGACATAGACAGTAGTTGACGTCTAGCAACATGCTACTGCCCCTAACAATATATGAAGGGTGTCATCTCATCAACAGCCAATTACAAGAGCTCTAAGCTACAATTGTTACTAAAGGTGTGGTATCAATTTATTCCTTTGTCTCGGACATCATGTTGAACATGAGATATGGATCGCGATCAATGTAGTTCATGTCATACCCAACGATGGCCCATATGACCGCCCTTTTACGGAACAGCGTTAAACCACATCAAAGCACAACAATTCCTACACTTCAAGTCCCAAATATGTATCTCATGTCTAAGAATACAAAGATACAACCTTGATCAAAACATCACTCTTGACTACGATCCATAAAGTGGTTTTGATGTGGGTCAAGTCCAATACTTATTCTCCCAATAAAGTACCTATGAAGTTGGTAGCAACTCTTGCTATCCTCATCTCCATGATAATCCACCAATCCACCCATATTAGTCTTACCTCATAGATGTTCCCACAGCTATGAATGACTATGGACATTTAGAACAACCTAGTTATTCAAGGATTTAAACATGCTAATGTAGAACACAACAATTATTCAATGAATGACTCATATCCAATATCCCAACCCATTACAATATATGTTGTATTTATTGTTCCAATATCCAAATACTAAATTTCAATCAATACATCTACTTATATCGACAAGGCCCTATAGCACCAGCTTGACTTTCATGCTTTAACTAATGATGGATCTTTGTCAAGTAGATTTGACAAACTTGATTTCTATAAACTTTGTGAATACAAAAAATTTTAGTTTTATATATAAAACTCATATAAAAAGAATAACTAATGAAAATGTATTAGATGCTTAAATATGACTTAGATACCAATATTCGCGTAATAGGATTACTCATAGTCATAATGACCCATATATTAAGCTTCCTAGCATGTCCAAACCACAATGTACTCTAACTCTGATGTGTAACTGTAATTAAAATTTACATGGAAACACTATACATGTATCTTTCTCTTCATTCATAATAAAGACACGCCCGATTGTGATTAAGAATCATCTCAATCTATTTTAAAATTTATCACATGTGTAACAACTTTAAACATAGCTTTCTTTCAAATACTCTGTAGACTAGGAATGTTTCTCTAGTTCTCGCAAGTACTTTAGAATGTTCCTATAAGTCACAAAATGATCTACTTCTTGGCACATTTTTGGTCATTTTGGTCCTTTTGATTGGTGATTGGGAGTTAGGGTCATTTTTGGAGCTCAATCTTATAGATCTGGATATATTATGGGTTCCTTGGGCATAAAGGTGCAAACTTTATGGTGGTTTTGGTCGCATGCATGTATTAAGTCAATTATTAAGCTCCTTTGAGCTCTAGAGCCCCATTTAGCCATGCATGCACATAAAGTTGGCAACTTTATGTGATTAACCACCTTATGGAAGCCATATATGAGTTTGGATCATGTCTTAACGGGTTAAGTGTTGAATTGGAAAAGTTGGCCATGAGTGGTGAGTACGCTGGTCGTACAAGTTTGTACGTTGCGCGTACAAGCCTTTCATGAAGTACGCTGAGCGTACAAGCTAAGTACGCCGCGCGTACTCAGCGGACTTGGGTTCCTTGTTTTGGGCTTTGGTGTTGGTCTAAGATTGGGCTTGATTGTTTTGGGCTATGTTTGATATAGATATTTTAGTGGACTCCAATGGGTGAAGTCCCATGAGAAGGATTGGGCCCAATTCGAAAAATTGGGTCGTAGTTGGGCCTTGGGTGTTATTTTAGATTTTTGGGCTTTTGGACAATTGGATTGAGCCTTGGCTTTGGGCTATGTTAGAGGAAGGGTAAAAATGTCTTTTACCCTAACTTGAACTCTTAGTGTGAGTCAGGATCTAGTTATTAATGGGTCGTCATTTTGGTATTTGATAACTCAAGGATTTTAGCCGGTCTGCAGCCAGAGTTTTATCTGTGGGTTTCAGCTGTCTGGGGTGAGTCTGCTCACTGTACTATTGGGTCGAAGGCACCAATGTCGGGCTATTTGTTTATGTATTATAAGAATACCATGGGTTGGCTCTTGGAATTTGTATGAAAGACCAGGAGGTGGCTCCTGGAAAAGCTGTATGCAAGACCAGAGTTTGGACTCTGGCAGTTAAGTAGATAAGTAGTGGTAGATTGTATGTTAGTTTTCTTTGTGATGTTTGCATGGAAGACCAGGAGGTGGATCCTGGAACTTGTCTGTAAGACCCAGGGTTTTGGTCCCCAACTTGGCAAGGAAAGACCATGATACGGCTTGTGGCATAATGGCAAGACTATGGTTGGCACATAGCACCTCCTATTGCATGTTTGATATGTATGACACGTATGTTATGTATGGTATGTGGTATTTGGGAAACTCACTAAGCTTTGTGCTTACAGTTGTTATTTATGGTTTCAGGTACTTCCGGTTCAAAAGGGAAGGGTCCGGCTTGATCGCAGCACATACACCCATATTTTCCGCAACCTTGAGATTTTGGGACTGTACTCTGATAACTGTTTTTATTATAAAATACATTTAAGTGGTTAAGTAAATGATAAATAGGTGTTTTGGTTGTTTTAAAAATGAAATTTTTACTTTCATAATTTGGGACGTTACAGGTAGCCCATGGCAATTGGATGAAAGACCATGGGGATAGCCCATGGCACATGGTTGTAAGACCTTGGGGGTAGCCAATGGCATTCCATGGAAAGACCATAGGCGTACCCCATGGCATTGTGTTGTAAGACGCGGGGGTAGCCCATGGCAATTGTATGTAGGGGTGTTCATAACCGGATATCCGAAAATTCGGATATTCGAAATTTCGGATAGTTGATTTTTGGTATCTGATTCCGTATCCGAAATTTCGGATATCCGAAATTTCGGATACGGATTCGGATACCAAAACGGATATCCGAAAATTTGTAATTTTGTTCAAATTTGAAAGTTTTTATATTAGAAAAACATATTTTTAAATTAGAAAGGCATATGAAATAATATATGTATTTAATTAAGGGTATTATGAATATGCTTTAGTTACTAACATTCATATTATAAGACATATGTGATTAAAATAACATATAATGTATAAACTAAAATCAAAATTTTCGGAAATCGGATATCCGAATTATCCGAAAAATCTGAAAAACACTATCCAATTCTGATTCCGAAAAATCGGATATCCGAAATTTCGGATATCCGAAAATTCGGATATCCGATTTTTCGGATAATTCGGATTCGGAATTTCGGAATTTCGGATACGGATATTTTTGAACACCCCTAATTGTATGTATGATATGTGGTATTTTGGGGAATTCACTAAGCTTTGTGCTTACGGTTTTGTGGTTTAACATTTTCAGGTACTGCCAGTTCGAAAGGGAATGGTCTGACTTGATCGCACAGCATCCCCCTCATGTTTCCGCTTTTATGACTACTTTTACTCTGATGATTTGATATTCTTTATTGTGGTTGATTTTGAGACATCTAATGTATGGAATTAATGATTTTTAAAATGAAAATTTTTATCTCTATTATGGGATGTTACAAGACGCCTACATATAATGACTCGTCGGATATAAAAATGATTCCCTCGGAAGAATACAAAAACGACTCCAACACCTCTTAGGCATTCTCATCAAGAAAAACATGTATCAATACGGTATTCATGGATACATATAAGAAAGAAAGGCGTTGCACGCCAACATCCATCACCATTGGACGGTTGTTTAGACCTTACCATTCATACTCTATATGAAGAACGGGATGATTCGTTGTTGTTTGCGCACCATTTTCTCACTACTATACCAACGATTGAGTTTTGGACACGCTTATATAGGGATAGTCACTTGGGTTGGTTGGAATGTGATGTAAGTTATATACGTATGTGATCATTATGTAGTACATATTTAGTAACAATACTAACTTTATTGTATATGTGTGTTGATTGGCAACACATCATGATCTGGATCTCATTGTTGATAAAGCGTGGACCGTATGATGTTCATTGAACATTTATGTTGACAGCTTTCGGTACAAATGCATATGACTGGAGTAACATGGTTGATAAATCCTTTTATCCAGCTTGGTCTGAGTGTGATGCGGTATTTTGTGTTTCAATTACATCACCTAATTAATAGTCATTTATAAGAAAATGTTATTTGATGATTAGTTAACTCCAACCTTTTGTGCAGTTTTACATCGCTATCAATATATCAAGTGTCCATTGGTTTTTGGGTGTTTTGGATTTCAAGACATTCAAAATGACTATATACGATAGTCATTGGGTGAACGATTATTTTTCAGAAGATGAATCTTGGTTTATAGCTATGCGAACTTGTATCCACAAACTCCTAATGGACATCAAGTATTAGAGTATCAAACTCACTGGTGTAATCTCCATTGGTAGTTTCAAAATCATATTTGTAAATGGCGCAGAAGTATCACAATAGTCCGACGATAAAATGGACTATAGGGTGTTTTTATGTTGGTTCCTAGTCCCTAGAAATTTTCATTGTTGGGAAATCATCGAAGATAAAGGGTTCCGAAGATTATTTTACAAATTTTATAAAATATTGATTACTTTTTCCTAAGTGTTCATTCATATATATGAGTAGAGTATTTCATTCCTTTTATATATCGATCATTTCTTTTATTTGAAAATGTACTGACGTGTCATACCCCATTAGATGACTCATCGATTTCTCATTTCACACCTTCCCTAACATACATTAACGGAAATAAACCGTACGGGGAAATTAGTGAAGATGAAGAATATGATCACCTGTAACTCGACCCACCGGATCCTCTTCCCGCGTAACGTTGACCTACTTGTCAAGGGTAAGAAAATTATTAATCAATCTAGAAAGCATTTTGTCTATTGACACGTGTAAACCGAAAGATTACATGTGCACATAGGATCAGAAATCTGGATTATAAAAAAATTAATAAATCTCGTAAAAATTTAAATGGCAGGTTATAAATTCTCGAAGCTCTCAATGTTTCAATGTATATGTTTCAGTTATACGGATTCACCGAGGGAGAGAAAGTGATCGGATGGGAGGATTGCTGGCGAATAAACGCTGGGGAGAGTGATAATTTGATCTTTCCCGGCGACGAATGAAGAGGCGAGGAGGGAAGAGTACGGGTGGAGGAGTCGGAAACAGAGCTATCTCGTCGGAGTGTACGGACAAGATGTCGACGAAGGGAAGATCTGGCAGGCGATTGGTGAAGTACGATGAATTGCCGGAGTATTTGAAAGATAACGAGTTCATATTGGATTATTATAGATGCGAATGGCCGTTGAAGGATGTCATCGGAAGCGTAGTATGTTGGCACAATGAAACCCTAAATATCTGGACGTAAGTAATCGATCCAGTGATTCTGATTCCTTCATCATTTGATTATATACAAATCATGAATTCAACAGCATTTCGCCGTTTTGATCGTGTACGTATTTATATATACTGATCGTTTCTTCGTGATGAATTTTGTCAAGGCATTTGGTAGGTTTCTTCATATTTTTGTCATTGACGATTTGGAGCTTATTGACCAAGGACAAGGTGGAATCATTGATCGCGAGCTTCTTCCTCTCCAGGTCCGTTCATGGCTTCATTGAGGTCATCGTGATTATTCATTTAAATATTCAATTTTTAACTTTCATGTGAAATTTAATAAGCAGTACTCACGGAATCCGAGAACCGACCATGACGACTGCGATGATGACGAAAGCCAATGCCACCGTCGCTTCTATGTTAATACCGGTGAGTTTTCCTTTTTATACCCCGATCATTTCTTGAATGTTACTCTATAATCTACTACCAAACCGAATTTCTCTAAAAACACACAATATTATTATACAATTAGAGCTAATTAGACTATTAGAGTAGTGTCTGTCTAAGATGCAAGTTTTAATTCGTCTATGGAAGATGATTTTTAGACATAAATTGGCTATAATAGTAATCAATTTTCATGTTTCAGTTGATGCAATTTTTCATGTTCATCATTAAATGATATAACTAAACATGAATACGTAATGACTTTTCATGTTTATCATTTAATGTCTTGATGTTAATTATAACAGGAAATATATCACCTAAATATTGTTACAAAATGTTGAACGCAATATTAAATTATCTGATTTGTGAAAGAGAAATGAACCTAAACGTCATAATTACAAAGTATACAATATCCAGTACTAAACCTGTCTAGCCAAATGGATACGTTTTTGATCAATTTCTTTTAATAATTGCAAGATTAGGATAAATATCGAAATATAAGCAATGGTTTTTTATTTATATGGTCTTAAAGCAATTCCTCCGTATTTTAAAATTTAAAAATACGAAGATAATTTACATGAGGCATAGCATATTAGTTAGTAGTTATTCCTCGTTTTGACAAAGTTGATTTTATGGACAAAAGAAAAGATTGTGGAGGACATGTGAATATATTATCCCATACGTGTCGAGAAATTACAAAAATTCGGGTTAAAAAGGGTCTTTTGGTGGTCCATGGTCCATAACACGTGACGTGATGCGGCTGCCGAAAGAGACATATGCCTGAGTCCTGACACCTCTTTTTATAATCACCCCTACACTTTATAATATTTTTTTTTCATTGGGTACTTTGTGTTCGCTAAAAAAATGCCACGCTAATAAATAGATATCACGATCACCCAAAAGTTATGTTACATATATTTGTGTTTGGCTTTTGGCTTTTGGTGATATTACTTTTATAGTAGATCAATTTATATATTGATAATTTGATATACCTAACACAATGGATGGCTAAGTAAGATGGTAAGAGGCAACAACACAATTAATGAATCATTAAACCATACACATGCCTTTCAACTAAATATACTAGTCACTTTTTTTTTTACTTCATTTATTTTTAAGATGCAAAATAGAAAATTTATTACTAGATAATTAGAAAATAATTGATGATGATGATGTTGTGCAGGAATCATCACTCCTAGGAGAAATTCTAAAACCATCAATCATATTAATCAACAACCCAGAAAACCCAAACCCTAAATGGCCATGGTTCATCTTCCTAACCGGAGCCATGTCCTGTCTGATCTGCAGCTCCATCTCTCACCTCTTCGCGTGCCACTCAAAAACCTTTAACCTCTTCTTCTGGCGCCTCGACTACGCCGGAATCTCCCTCATGATAGTCTCCTCCTTCTTCGCCCCAATCTACTACGCCTTCACCTGCCACCCATTCTCCCGCCTCTTCTACCTCTCCTCCATCACCACCCTCGGCCTCCTTGCCATCTTCACCCTCCTCTCCCCCGCCCTCTCCGCACCCCGCTACCGCTCCTTCCGTGCCACCCTCTTCCTCGTCATGGGCTTCTCCGGCGTTATTCCCGCCTCCCACGCCGTGTACCTCCATTGGGATGACCACAAAATAGTGGTGGCTCTTGTTTATGAGGTTGTGATGGCGGTTTGTTACTCTGTGGGTGCGATGTTTTATGTTAAGAGGATACCGGAGAGATGGAAGCCAGGTATGTTTGATATTGCGGGCCATAGTCATCAGATTTTTCATGTTTTTGTTGTGGCGGGTGCTCTAGCGCACGCTGCCGCAACGCTCGTGATCATGAACTTGCAGCAGGTTTCGCCAGCACTATGTGCTGGCGGAGCAACATGGATGTAGGGTTAGGATTGTTGTGACTTTGTTTTTCCAAATTTTGGGAAATATGTATGTGTGAGATATTTAATATTAGAAATTAGGGTTTATGATGAATTATTGTTTGGATTATTTGTACCACTTTGATAAATGAAACAAGCATTTGAGTTAAAAATAGTACTACCATTTTATCCTTGCATTCCATATTCATTTTCAAAACATTCATCAATTTCAATTTTCATACTTTGAGAGAAAAAAAGGCAAAGATCTTGATACACTAAGCCAGGCTAGGTCAAAAGAAACAACCATACATATATAGCTGTCTAGATTAAGTGATTAACCCATGAAACTCATCAAGTCAAAAAGGAAACAACTCCTTATAACATATTTATTCAACAATTAAATCAAGAAACTCTGAACCATTTATTAACTTCATCGCAAGTCTTTAAACGCAGAAAATAATGCCTGGAAAAACAAAAGTTACAGTACTCACCAGATTCTCATCAGGAACTTGAAAAATCCAGCAAAACTTCAAATGCAGAAAAGGGGTAGATTCGGCATTTTCGCTCAAAGTATGTCAGCATACAGACTCAGGAAGAGCTAAATTCGGTTTTCCACATGAGCAAAATTGTTTTGCATTAGCATATTCCCATGGAAGCAAGCAGCAATGTTACCACTTGAAAATTTAATATGACAAAACTACCCTTCTTAACTTGTAACCTCAATGGTCTCAACCTCACCATTCTTTATTGGTTTCTCATCAACAATCTCTGGCGATTGGGCATCTACTATTTCAGCAGCCTTTTCTTCCATTACAGATTGAGTTTCTTCCACCACAACTGTTACAGACTGAATTTCTTCACCAATTTTCTCAACATTTTCCAAAACTTCCTCTTTGTTCTCCCCCACATGTTCAGTTGGGGTCTCAACAACAACACAGACTTGTTGAGTTGTAACAACTGAAGGAGAATCTACCGAGCTAACCGGTGACTCAACTGAGTCAACCGGAGATACAGGGTACCCGTTTTGACTAGGAAACCCATTCACAGGATACCCGTTGGGAGAAATCGGATACCCACCGGACGTAACCAGATACCCATTGGGAGCAACCGGATACCCATTTGGAACCCAGGGTTGACCCGGAACAAACTCAGCCGCATGCGGGTTCATAACTGTTGGAGGAATTAAATGACCTCCATCAACAACAAGCTCAAAAGCGGGGGGCTTATTACGTTGAACCCGGTTGACCGACCGGTTGTACCCGCCCGCAAGACGCGGGCCATACGGAACCCTAGCTGTTGCTGATTGATGAGGGTTCCTACGGACAGGTGTCACTGTCACCATTGTAGGTATGTTGACAGGTGGCGGTAATATCCCAACATGATCTTTCAAAACCGAACCGAAAACCGGAATATTAGACGGGCTAAACGGAGGTGCTTCTGCCGAAAGTTTCTTACTCGCAGCTTCTTTTGCCCTTTCCCTTTCCCTTTCCGCTTCCGTCTCCGTGCTCGGACTTTGACTCTGACTTTCACTTTGACTTTGAATACCTTCCTCATTTGGTGTTTTGTCATCATCTTCATCTGCCACCTCAGCAATCGGCTCTGTTTCTATTTCCACCTTTGAAATTTCAGATGATTCTACCCCTGGATCTGTGTTATCGACGGTTTCTGGTTCTATGACTGTGTCAACTTCTGGGGTTTCCTTTTTTTCTTCTTCAACATCTTTTTTACGTTGTTCATCTTCTTTCTTTGGTTCTTCTGTTGTTGAAATCTCATCTGTGGAATTTTCTTTTGGTAACTGTTCAGCTACGGCCTTCACGATGGTGCCAGGGGCTGCTAATGCAACTTCTTTGTAAGAAAAGAGTTTTCCGGCTTCTTTGACACTGATTGAGCTTATGACTGGTGAACGTTTCACAGTCTGATCATTTGAAGCTGGACTGGATGGGTTTGACTTAGTCGTGGGTTTCTCAGTCTTAACAGATTTCTTGGTGACAGCTGGCTCACTAGTTTTTGGGGATGTGAAGTTAGTGGGTTTTGATCTGTACTTTGATGACTGAGAAACACCACCGTTTATGAAATTTGTGTTTATTTTTGCCAGATTTGGCCTTCTGGAGGTTGAAGATTTACGACCTGATTTAGAAAAAGCTTCCTGCCATCCTTCATCTGAGTTGTCAGTTTCTACCAAATAACCGTTTTGTTCCTTTTGAATTTCCTCTTTTTGAACTAATTCAGTTTTCTTATTTTTTAAATCTTCATTTCGGATCTCAGACTTGTTCTCCTTATCACTAGAATTCTTTCTGATATGAAGACTTGGAGTTGGAGATACGATATCTTCCTTTTGAATTCCATCGAGTGACGGTTCCTCATTCTGTCCAGGTTTTCCTTTCATCTAACAAATTTTAAAAGCAATATCAGACATACATATATTAAAATATTTAATTACAAATATCTTGGTAACATTGACTTACGAGCTTCGCACGAGCTTGTTTCTTTTGGGCTTCTCTTGCTTTCATATCTGCATCTGGTGCTATATAATCCAACAAATCTGATACACTGACCCAATAAAAAAAAAACCATCAGTAATCTGGAATGAACTATTCCATTCCTTTCCTGATTCCAATAGCCTACCTTAGATGGCCTTTGCTGGATATGGAGGCATCAGGCTTTGGGGTACCATTGCGTGCAGCTTCTTGCTGTTCGAGGGCTTTGGACTCAAAGTATTCAAGCCACGCTGCTGCATCCTACAATATCTTAATACACTTAGTAAAACTAAAATTCTTAATGTGAAAATCATAAATTAAAAATAATAATTGTGTAAGGTACCTGAGTACGAAGATCTTCAGGTCCAAGTTTAGCCTGAAGAATCTGTAAAGTGGTTTGCTCATGTTGAACACTCAAGGAATACGCTTCCATCAAGGAAAGAGCAATTGCTATAGCATGGTAGCTAGCAGCAGTCTGACACAAGTGTTAAATACAACATGTGAATCACAAAATGACAAAATATAATCTTCAATAGAATATATATATATATATATATATATATATATATATAGAAAAGTAGAAGTGAGAGAAAGATTACTTACTTGTATGTGATCGGCTCCAAGGAGTCTTTTATTACACTTAAGAGCCTCATGAAGGTACCTAAGAGCAACATGAACATTTCCTAAACCTTCTTCCATCATTGCTACATTAATGTAAGTGGCAGCAGTATTCGGGTGAGATGGCCCACATGTTAGATGCAACAGATACAACGCCCGATTCACATACCTACAAACAAACACAAACATAAGCCAAATACATTCTTCTCATTTTTTTTTTTCTATGATACATTTTTATTGTTTTTAAGAAAAGAAAAGAAAAACATACTTGAGAGCCAACTCAGTGTGTTGGAGCCTGTAGTAAAAAACAGCCAAGTCCCCATAACTCTTCATTGTATCTGGATGATCAAGCCCAAGTTCCCTCTCATTTATATCCAAAGCTTTTTGTTGGTAGATAGTAGCCTAATAGATAGATAGTAGTCAAAACCCCTTCTTTAGTTGACTTATTATTGTATTCACAAAAGTCAACACAAGAAAAAATGTTCTTGTACCTGATTAAAATCACCAGTATGATAAAGCACCACAGCCAAAAGACTATATGCACCAGCTGTCATTCGATGGTAAGGCCCACATACAGATACAAGTTTAGACAGTGCCTAAACAATAAACATAGTAATCATGTTAGATTTTAGTTGATTTATTATTGAACTAATGAAAAGTCAACACAAAAGATTTAGTTACCTTTGTTCCAAAGTTGACAGCATCTTCAAGTTTGCCTTTATCCAATGATGTTTTAGATGACTCCAAAAGTGTTCGCCCATCAGCAGATGAGCATGCAACATGTTTATACACAGGAACCATGCTTACAACATCAGACTTCTTGAAAGGGTAAGCTGAATCCATATCATAGTCTCTAGGAACAAGCTCGAGTCCAACTTTATGAGAAAGCCCTCGAAGAATGGCAAATTTACGAAGAGTGCCACGATAGTCGCTTTTCTGTTCACATGCATATCTCTTTGAAAGAAACGATTCAACCCAATTCCACTTTAAATTTTCTAAGTCACTTGTGTCAGGTGTTCCTAGTAATACATTTAAGCAGGATGCTATTGATGAAGCTAAATCAGTTACATCATCAACTGCTGATATAACTGCTTGTAAGATGTGTTTGTAAGCTCGAACTATCATTTCATGGATACATAGTGATTGCACGTGAGGAAGCTTGTCTGCAAGTTCAACCTGATAAAAGAAAGCAAAGTACAGATTGCTATATAACAATGTCAAGGGTAAAATTGGTATTGGAAAAAAGAAGAAATGAACTTAGACTCTTACCACTCGCCCTAAAGAGCACATACGCAAACCCCTTGTGTGCATGAAATCAGTCAGTGTCCTTCCATCAACAGGTGAAAGTTCAAGAGAGCCAAAATCAGCCACCAACTTAGGAAGGGCAGTTTCGTCATAGAATTTATGCGCCATGTCAACCAACTCATCAGGTGACTGCCAACATAAACCAAAATACCGAATCAAATACAAATCAAGAAACCAATATTACCCTTCAATATCAGATTATGCTCAACCTTGAGGTGAAGACCAGTGGCTGATTCTTTAAGACGCAAATAAGCTGCTTCCGGAAGCAACTTTCGCCACATCATCTCCTGTTCTTCATCCAATTTTACTGTCTCTTTGTTATCTGATTTATTAACTGTGTCAACCTCCTCTGTTTTTCCGTTTTTATCCTCAGACTTTTTCTTAATTCCTTTCAACAATCCCTTTCCTAAACCCTTCACATCCGGTTCCACCTTAGCTTCTTCAACTTTCTTGGAATCAGATTTCTCCTGGTTTTGTAAATGTTGCACCCAACACGCTCCAAGTTCCCACCTGATAGATTTTCTATCTTTACATTCTTCTACCTTCATTTTCTCCAGACTTTTCTCCAACACTTTCTTCACCAAAACATTACCACACTGCAAATCTTCAACTCGAGCTGCACCGGGCGACTTGTGCAATAACATTCTTAAACTGTGTTTTAACAAAAAAAAAAAAGTTACATTTATTTAGGACAAAGTGGTAAGAGATTTGTTGCATATCAAATTTTTTACAAACCTATTGACATTTAAAGCATTGGCACCCCCTTCAGGTTGATCCTCAATTTCAATATCTTGAGGAATCGGTTTCCCATTCCAGTTCACCTCGGCTTCAACTTTCACAATGGCAGTATAACCACAATGTCTAACAACCACTACACCTAAAGTAGATGTATCCTGCATTGTCACAATAGTTGAATATTTTCATTATATAGATATATGTGTGTGTATGTATATATATACAGCATGATAGATTGATAGTATGATACTTACATGAACAGTGGCACTCTCATCTGCAGTTATGCCTTTAAGCAAGTTACGTTTAGCAAGTTCCTCCTGTGACAAGCCTAGAATACGACTCCCATCATATTTAGCATCCAACTTTACACTTGCATCAGACACATCTCTTGTGATCCTAATAACCAAATCTCCGATTCTCTCCTCATGCAAAATGGAATCAATCGGACCATTTGAGGAGGACAGCTTGTTACTATCAGCAAAATGCTTAATGGCTGCAACAGCTTTTAGAACTGATACGTCGACAAATAGGCTGTGAAGCAGAAAAGTTTTCCTATCTCTAATTTGCCTTTCTTCTGGTGTTTTACAAGGCATTGCTGCTAATATTGAGAATTCCTTTGCCCATTGTCTATGATCATGTTTACCATCTCTTCCTTGTCCACCACCATTTCCTCCCCAGTTTTCGTCTTCTACTGGAAGTGGGGGGAAAACAGATGGGTTATCTGCCACAACTGGTGGTACAACCCATGTGTTGGCTTGAAATCCGTAAGGGAGATTCCCAAACTGTAACAAATATAAACCATTTACTTGTTAAATTGTTATCTCGTGAAATTATGATGTTAAAGTGATTAGTAAGTTTAAGTTCAACTTACTTTATTGTGCTCGATGAAAGCTTTCATAAGAGCTTTGTATGCCTGTAGTATAACACTTTAGATGTTAGATATGTGAATAATAGTTATCACATTCGTCTGGATTACAATGAAGCTTGTACTTACACTGTCAAAGATCCGGCTTATCTGCTGCAATAGACCAACCAAAGAATGACTTGAAATAATACGTTTTCCAGCCGGATAGAAACCTTTCCTCGAGGCAACAACTGTCATAGGCTTCCCACCGGAAACACGTACCTGCATACAACTCATATCAGTCGCTACAGTAATCTAGCAACACTACGAAAATGTCTGAAATGAGTTGTCCATAGTTCATACGTTTCATAGAAAGTAAAGAAATGCTCACATCGATTTGGAAGAAATCGTCGTCGGTTTTATCTTCGAGGAAGGGACGAGCGGATCTCCTGATGTCTGTAAATGTAAAAACAGCACGCAAGCTATAAAAACCTGGACAGCAAAACGAAATTTAGATTTGGAATCGATAGGGACATACATTGGATGGGAGCAGTGAGATGAGAGAACGAGAAGAAGTCGTAGAACTGTCCAAGCTTCGGCGGTGGATAGATCTCCGCCGCAGCGTCACCTTTCTCCGACGGATCTGAACTGATCGAGACATCTGCCTTCGGCGATTTATCCTCTCCGTTCGACTTCTTATCCTGACCGGTCTCTCCATCGCTCGATCCTGATTCTTTGGAACGAGGAGGAGCAGCAGTGGAGGTGTTCTTGGGAGAGTTAGATGAACCACCGAAAGCGGTGGTGCAAGCCACAATATCCAGGAGTCGTCTGACGTGTGCGACGGCGGATTCTTCCGTGTAATCCTCTGTGAAAAGAAATGTAAAAATGAAACTTTCAATTTTGCCCCTTGAAGTTATGGTTATTGTCATAACACCCCCTAAAGAATATCAGTGTTTACCTTCAACTACCGTTAAGTGACATGGCTTTAGAGCAACGACTTCGACCGTATCTTTTAACCGTGGACCTCGTACCTGTCGATAACGGTTCGTTGAGTTTAGAAAAAATGTAACATTGGTCCCTAGCATCTTGCTAGGGTCATTGTTTTAATATAATTGCTGGTTCAAAAAAAATTTGTAACATTGTTTTTAAATTTATTAGAAATCGACAATTCATACAACTTGAAAAGTATCAATATTATTGATTACACAAACGTAATGGTTCAAACTGAATCTTTATTAATTGTCGTTTTTTTGTCTGACTTAATAGTACACGATATTATTGTTTATACAGATGCGTTGATCCATGCTTACTAAATTCGGTCTCTATTTAATTATTGTGTTTTTCTATTTTGAGTATGAAGCATGAAAGAAGCCGGAATATATTTATCTTCTTATTTTTTTCTCAATAATTATGATCCGCCATGTCAACTTTATTATAGCAAAAACAATTTAACTTACAGCTAATTTTTAAAAGTGACAAAAATAATGCAAGTTTATATTTTACTTGTAGATCAAATTTGTGAAAGGTTACAAAATGCAACAAATATTTTACAGTAAAAAAAAACATGCTATAACTTCGTTTTATCTACCAATCTTGACTTGTAAAATAAACTATCACTTCATAGATTTAGTTATTGATTGTTAAAAGAACATATTTTTTGCATCAAATTGGCAACGTAACTCACCAAGTAATCAGGATCAACATAAAGAAAGTGAAGATATATAAACAATAATTATAAAACAAAACTGTAAGACGTTGTATATGCATGCTATAAATCTAATTTATAATATTTTTCATAACACTTTATCGTTTAAGTTGCACAAAACTTGATTATATACACAAAAGATTCTTAACTGGCTTCTAGTAAAAAAACAATAAACGTATTTTCAGAGTTCTTTTACCAATGCCAATTATACGATAAAACACACACTGTAAATCGAGTATAAAGCAAAAATTATGCATAATCAATTATTTTGACTTTGATGAGAAACAATAAATATTTGCATATACCTCATGCGTTAAAGAGTAGTTTGTCACGTGACATGTCTCAACATTTACTGCTAGCAGCTTTCGAACATCTAATATTCTGTCAGTAGATATTCCCTAATATCATCAAAATACAAAAAGTCAAACCGATATAAAGATAGTAAAGACAATCTATGTTGATCGCAGCCAAGTAAAAGAACCGATTGCTTTTTGTATTGGGCTTTACCTTAAGTGTCACTGTGGAGTCATCAGGCGTTTCTATTGCTATTTCTACCACCGTTGGTAATGCTGTCAAACAAAGAATGTTACTCGGTATTTCAAACTATGACAAATAATAGTAACAAGAATATTTTTTAGACAAGTTAAGATTAATAAATAAATAAACATTTAAAACATCATCGCACCCCACCCACAATCATTGAGACTAGAAGTATCCATGTAATATCAATAAAGCAAAAGCAACCAAAAACTAATAATGATGATAATAATAATTTAAATCAAATTAGTCAACACCATGTAATTTGTTTAAAATGAGCAAATAGTCACTTTTTTTTACGACAAACATTCCTCCACTCTAAGTTCGATCAAGTCGCAAACATTCAAGTTTCAACCTACCTTCGTCTCTGTTGGGCTCCATATACAATCCAAATACCACTTATGATTCAAGAAAATCAATAATGTTATATTTGACAAAATCCATATGATGTGAAAAAACATATAACATTTTAAAAACTAATGCTAAACAACACATATGATAAGTATATACAAATTTTATTGTAACGTGTTTTTATATTTTTTTTATATTTAAAGCATAAAAATAAGAAATTTTAATATATTTATTTTTTTCAAATAAAACAAAAGCTAAAAAAAAAAAAAAAAGTATCATTCATTAATGAATGTGTATATTAATTGATGAAAAGTGATTTTACTTTTTTTTCCAAAAAATACAAATCAATATACTTCAATTTATCATTTTTATACTATAAATATATCATATTGATACACAAATACGAAATTTAGAAAAAAAAAATGTTTGAAATTTTTTTTCTTTTTATCATTATGCATTAAGGAATGGTTTAAATTTTTTTTTATATAGTTTTATCTTATTTGAAAAGGAAAACTAATTATAATTATAACAAAGATTATCATTGTTATGTTTTAAAAATATTATACACATCGATATACAACCAAAAAAATTAATTTCAACATTATTCATTAATAAAGGTTTAATTTTTTATTTTCATGGTTTTAATTTTTTCGATACAAATTTACAGTATATATCTAAGCTTATCATTTTTTATGCTATAAAATGATATTTATATCGATATAAAAATAAAAATTGTTCTGACGAGATTTTGTGTTCTTAGTGTGTGTGTAACTATATATATAATAAATTAAAAAGTGCAGGACACAGATTCAATCTAGTTTCAAGCAATTGAAATAAATAGCATAACCAATGATTATTATGTCTTCTGAAATTGTTTCCTTGAAAGCATTTGTTGTAGTTTAAAATTGGCAGAAACACAAATAAGACGTGTAACGTACCTTTCTCTTCCTTCTTCTTCTTTTCTCCCTTAGCCTTGTGAGGTTTTCCTTTACTAGCTTTTGGCGCCATAATCAAATCCAACCAACAACCAACAACGAACAGAGAAGAAGAAAACAGCCAATTCAATCAACAAAATGACAATGCTAAACCAATTAATCAAAATTTAATATTCTTCAGGTGAACATAACAACAACAATCATGATGTGAATTTCCCTCAAGAGTCCTTATAGATTCATACTCAAATTGAAACACGCACAAAAGTAAAACTATGGATAGGAATTTTGGATTTTCTGGATAATGGAAACTTCTGGAATTGGAAGTGATGGTAAATGAGAAATTAAAAAGCAGGATGCATTTGGTGAGGAGTGAAGAGCATGTATTGAATGGAGAATTGAGAGGAATTGAAAGTAGAAGTAGAACTGTAGAAATAGAAGTAGGAAATAGTAGCTAAGGAGATGGGCCAATGAGAGGATTGATAAATTATGGTGGAGTGGTAGAGAGAGGGGGAAGAAGAGAAGGGAAAGAGATGATAGGATAAGGTGACACGCACACACACAGAGAGAAGAGAGAGAAGATTTTGCAAGTACGTACAAGTAACAAGATGGATTTAATTTGAAGAATGTAATGGCTGGGTGGATGGCTATTTTCAGGCCTCTCGTCTTCTCTCTCTCTTACTCTATTCACATGAACCACAAAACTACTTTCTAGAAGAATTTTGGGGATGTGTTTGTTAGTTTCCAAAATATTATTGTAATTTTAACAAGAGTCTGTCACTAATATTATAAGATATAACGAAAATATTTGTTTTTAATTATTATAAAAAAGTCATTTATTTTTCAAAAACATATTTGGTGGATTGGTTTTAAGTTTGTGAAATAATTTAGTTACCATTTATTTATGGTAATTTTGGTTTTTCCTTCGTAAACCTTTTTTACAAATCGAAGATTATTAATGGCTATTGGTGTGGTGGCATACCCTCAGCAATCGGAGATTCGGAGGCTGTATTCTTATCATCAACACTTTCTGGTTCTATTACTGTATCGAATCTTTTCATCAACATCTTTTTTTTTATGTTCTTCATCTTCTTTCTTTGGTTCTTCTTCTGTTGAAATCTCACCTGTAGAATTTTCTTTTTGCACATAGTTTGCATCCAATTAACTTTGTGCTTGCATCAGACACATCTCTTGTGATCCTAATACCCAAATCTCTGATTCTCTCCTCATGCAAAATCGAATCAATCGGGCCATTTGAGGAGGACTTGTTACTATTCATGGGTTGTCTGCCACAACTATGTGTTCGCTTGAAATCCGTAAGTTAGATTCCCAAACTGTAAAAATATAAATCATTTACTTGTGAAGAAGTTATGATGCTAAATTAAGTGATTGGTAAGTTAACCTTCATTATTGTGATCGATGAAAGCTTTCATAAGAGTTTTGTTAGATCTGTGAATAATAGTCACATACGTCTAGATTACAAATTTACAATCTAGCAACACTATGAACATGTCTAAAAAAATAGCTGATGCTCACATCGATTTGGCAGAAATCGTCGTCGGTTTTATCTTGGAGAAACGGATGACCGGATCCCCTGATGTTTGTAAATATAAATGTAAAAACAAAACGCAAGCTATAAAACCTGGACAATAAAATGAAATTTAGGTTTGAACTCGTTAGGGACATACATTGGATGATAGGATTGAGACGAGAGAACGAGAAGAAGTCGTAGAACTGTCCAAGCTTCGGCGGTGGATAGATTTCCGCCGCCGCCTCACCTTTCTCCGACGGATCTGAACTGATCGAGACATCTGTCTTCGGCGATTTATCCTCTCCGTTCGGCTTCTTATCCTGACCGGTCTCGCCATTGCTAGATCCTGATTCTTTCGAACGAGTAGGAGCAGCCGTGGAGGCGTTTAAGGGAGAGTTCAGAGTTAGATGAACCACGGAAGGCGGTGGTGCAAGCCACAATATCCAGCAGTCGTCTGACGTGTGCAACGGCGGATTCTTCCGTTCCGTATAGTCCTCTGCAAAAAGGTATGTTAAATGAAACTTTCATTTAGCCCCTTGAAGTTATTTATTGTTGTCAAAAATACCCCCAAAAGAATATCAGTGTTTTACCCTTAACGATTGTTAAGAGACATGGCTTCGTCGCAACGATTTAGACCGTATCTTTAGCCTTGGACCTCGTACATGTGAGTACGGCTGGTTGTAATGGAAGCTTTTGTGCTCCAATTTCCACGCGTGAACACCACCCCCAAAGGGCGTAGAGTAGTCCTCTCTACAACTCTTCACGGAAGAAATACGAAGCAAAATAGACCGTTGGTATTTAAACTGTCAAAAAAATGGACCGTTTGGGTGTTTTAAAAAAACTTGTTTCTTTAATATTTAAATCATCCATTTTACCTATATAAATACTATTATTTTCATATATATTTTCACACGACAAAGTACAAACACACTTTTAAAAGATGAATATTTTTTTATCTTCTTCTTCGTCATTCGATGATTTACACATTCACGAAAACGGCAAGCGAAATGTTGCTTCAAGAAGCCGAAAGTTCAAATGTCAAAAAGAGGAGTGGAACTTTGATCAACACAGATCGTATTGCGGAAAACAAACTTTTGGTACGTGATTACTTTGCCCCTATTGTTTATACGACCAAGAGAAATTCGAAGAACGTTTTCGTATTAGTATAAAATTATTCTAACGTATAGCTAGAGATTTGACAGATAATTATGAGTTTTTTCAATTGAGATGGGATACTAGAAATGATGTCAAACAGTTTTATGTCGCACAAATAGTCCACTTATCACTTTTCCCATCCTACCATTGGCTCCAAAACACAATTCAATAGCTTAAATTACTTAACCAACATTGTCAACATCAAGTAAAGTCTAAACTTTATTCTCTTGAAGCTCAAGATTTTTACTCTATCAAATTATGGTTTGCTATGTAACATTCAGGAAATCACGGTAAAAATTTTCCATTTTTGAAACCAATCCAAAACCATAAGCGTTTACAAACATAGTTTCCAAAGTGTCAATAGTCACAAATCAGAGTATCCCAAAATCTATTCTCATAAAAACTGAAGGATATGCACGATCAAGCCTTCGTCTTGCCCCGATCAGCTGAAACATAAAACTGAAACTGTAAGCACGAAGTTTGGTGAGTTCCCTAAAGTACCACCACACAAACATATAACATATATAATCATGCATGTTGGTCCAGTCAGTCATCGGACTGGAATACCCACGGGTCTACAACCATTGGGTTGGATTACCCCCAACCCAATCAGTCATCGGAATGGAATGCCTCGGCCCACTTAGTAATCGGACCGGAACGCCAATATGTAACGGGTCCACTCATTCATCGGACTGGAATACCCTCGGGTCCACTCAGTCATCAGAATGGAATACCCTTGGTCTATTGGCTCATGCACATAGCAGTAAAGCTTCAATCCAAAACAATAACATGTCGACATATACTTCACAGATAAACACATAACCAATCAACAGACAAACAGGCAGATCTACAGGTCACTACCGCATATGTAACGACCCAATTTTCAAGTCCAAAATTTTCTTTTTAATTAAGCGACTCACAAAAACTTTCATAAGAAAATACTGTGAAAACACATCATCTCATAAACCAATGCATCATGTCTGAAACCCAAGTCATAAAATAATACATATCAGAGTACAATCCCAGAAAAACTCCATGCGGAAATCATGTGTGTGTGATGCGATGCTACGCCGCCGGCTCATTCCCCTTAGACGAAGAGGTACCTGAAACCAAAACCGAAACCGTAAGCACAAAGCTTACTGAGTTCCCCCATCATACCACATACCATACAATATCCTCGGTATCTTTCAACCGGTAATCATCGTCAGTATCTTTCAACCGGTAATCATCATCGGTATCTTTCAACCGGTACTCTTCATCGGTATCTTTCAACCGGTAACTGTCATCGGTATCTTTCAACCGGTACTGAGGACTATTCCACCCCCTACCACTAGCATACAACAACAAGATATAAGCATACAGTCAGGCATATCCGGGTACTGACCTACCCTTCGGTCCTAAGGACCACTATCAGGGAAACCAATCCCTATCGTATACGTAACATATCATACAAATAAAACTCATGACCAAAGCATGTAACCAGACCAAGATAATTATCACAAAGACAATCATCTTCTAAATACTCCTCTTTGGTGGGCCGGCATTGTGGCCTTAGACCCACCCCTACCGGAAGGTAACTCACCTCGTACGAATAGCTGTTGATACTCCGAGCGGGAAACCTCTGTCTGCTGCTGCTCCGGAAATCCTCCGACTACAATCCCCACAAAACACTCAGTCAGAAACTGATATCTACTCTTAGGGTAAAATGACTATTTTACCCCTAACCAAGTCCAAGACAAAGTCAACTTCCAGTTGACCCGACTCGCCGAGTTGGGCCATCAACTCGTCGAGTCCCTTCCCTTTGCTCGTCCTTATCCACGACTCGACTCGTCGAGTTTGGCAACGACTCGACGAGTTCCCCTTCTTTACGAACATCAATGAACCTTCATCCGACTCGCCGAGTCGGATGAACACTCGCCGAGTTCACCTTCAACTGATGAACAAGTCCTGATCTTGACTCGCCGAGTTGTATGAACAACTCGTCGAGTTCATTTTCAAACATAAGGAGATTGCCTTGCGCTCGCCGAGTCTGTTCTAGCACTCGTCGAGTCCCATGAACTCCAGGTCTAAAATTAAGTCTAATGCGTTGGGTCACTCTTTCTGTCCCGCTACAACCCTTCTAACACCCAACTGAGTCCTTTTGACCCTCAACAGATATGGGACTCAAAGCCTTGGACTCGTCGAGTCCCAAGAACGAACTCGTCGAGTCGATAACGTCCACACCCAAAATCCTCGATTTCTGATGTACAACACCTGACCAAAAGATAGATCTAAGCTCCTTCAATCGTTCTAGCACGTAAAGTTACAAACTTTACGTGCATGCATGGGACTTTGAGCTCAAAAGGACATAAAATAAGCTCTTATGATGCATGAGACCTTTCTTGGGTGCAAAAGCAACCCACATCTGCCTTGTGACTCTTCCCAAGTGCTAGATCCGAAGTCTTGACCCTCAACCATGTTTGCAATCATGGTTGGTTACCAAAATGGCTTATAAAAGCCCTAAATCTCCCCAAAAAGGGATCTATCAAATGAAAGAGCAAGGTACAGACTTTATACCTTTCAAAGACTGCAAATGATGAACCAAACTCGAATCCTTCAGTTTCCTCTTGATCCTTCTATGCTCTTCCTTCTTCCTTGTGAACAAAACCACCAAGAATCACTCAAAAGCCTTGAATCTTGCACCAAAACACTTAGGGTTTGCTATAGAGGGTTTCTGGGAGCATAAGGGGCGATGGAGGCTGTATAAGGTTGTTTAAATAGGGTGCAAACCCTCAGATTAGGGTTTTGTCCAGACAGAGCCTACTCGTCGAGTCCGGGATCTGACTCGACGAGTCCATCACTTAAATCCCGCGTCTCATCCCGCTTCTACTCGGCGAGTTGGTCCTTCAACTCGCCGAGTCCAAGGTCAAGAATGCAAAATTACTTAAATAAAATACATACCAGGAACCAGGTGCTACAAATCTCCCCCACTTATTTTAGACTTCGTCCTCGAAGTCTGCTGCTCGATCCTGGAATAGCTCTGGGTAATGCTCCATCATCTCCTCCACCGGCTCCTAGGTCCATTCCAAGCCCTTCCGGTGCTGCCACTGCACCTTCACGAGCTCCACCCTCTTGTTCCTCAGATCCTTCGACTTCCAGTCGAGGATCGCCACTGGCCGCTCAATATAATTCAGGCTGTCATCGACCTGAATGTCCTCTAAGGGTACCACTGCTGAGTTGTCCACCAGGCACTTCCGCAGCTGAGAGACGTGGAAAGTGATGTGGATCTGGCTGAGTTCGGCAGGCAGATCCAACCTATAAGCCACCTTGCCCACCCGGGCTATAACCCTGAAGGGTCCAATATACCTGGGACCCAACTTGCCCCGCTTCCTGAATCGGATGACGCCCTTCCATGGCGACACCTTCAGGAGAACCATATCCCCGACCTGAAACTCCAGGTCCGATCGGCGCTTGTCAGCATAGCTTTTCTGCCGACACTGTGCAGTCTGAAGTCTGCTCCTGACCTACTGAATCCTTTCTGTCGTCTTGAGCACCACTTCGGTGCTCCCCATGACCCTCTGGCCAACCTCACCCCAACATATCGGGGTTCTGTACTTCCTCCCGTATAACATCTCGAAAGGAGAACGGTCAATACTCGCATGATAGCTATTATTATACGAGAACTCCGCCAACGGAAGGTAGGTATCCCAGCTACCTCGGAAGTCTAAAACACATGCCCGCAGCATATCCTCTAGCGTCTGGATGGTCAGCTCGCTCTGACCATCCGTCTGCGGGTGAAAGGCGGTGCTAAAATGCAGACGAGTACCCAGCTCGTCATGAAACTTCTTCCAAAACCTGGAAGTGAACCGAACATCTCTGTCTGAAATCATCGACACTGGCACCCCGTGCCGCGCCACCACCTCTCTGATATAAATGTCGGCCAGCTTCTCGGCCGAGATGCTCTCCTGAATTGGAATAAAATGAGCGCTCTTGGTCAATCGATCGACGATGACCCAAATCGAATCTACCCCTCGTGCGGTCCTGGGAAGCTTTGTGATAAAATTCATCATAATATCCTCCCATTTCCACAGCGGAATATCCAACGGCTGCATCTTGCCGTGTGGCCTCTGGTGCTCGGCCTTGACCTTTCTGCAGGTCAAGCACCGCTCCACGTACCATGCTACATCCCGCTTCATGCAGGGCCACCAATAGTCCAGGCGAAGATCCCTATACATCTTCGTCGCCCCGGGATGAATGGAGAATCGAGATTTGTGCGCCTCTTCCATCAGGACCTGGCGCACACCCCCGTGGTACGGCACCCACACCCTACGGTGTAGTGTCAATAATCTGCGGCTGTCATAGTCGAAGGAGGAAACCTGACCCACAATCCGCTCGCTATTCCGATGTTCCTCCTTCATGGCCTCCCGCTGGGCCTCCCGAATCCGCTCCAAAAGCGGAGTCACCACTGTCATCCTTAGA